AGGAATGTTACTGCTTTGATTAAGACACTTCATTTACTTCCTGCCACTTCAGTGCTTTGCACGAGAGACCAGAATTACACAAGCCTAATTGGCAAACTTTTCTGAACGCTTTGTGGCAGCTCTTGAGGAGGAAGATTCTACCCTACTGCACTCTTTTTGGCTTAAACTCCTCCCAACAACTAACTCCGACTATACTGGGAGAACAGCCTCACCTCCCCCCTGACGCCTTCACAAGAGACTTGACTTCTTAGTGGACCAACAGCTCCACTGTACTGACCCACGCTCATTGAGCAGGACAGTATTTCACCACAGAGCTGAGTCTTAACTCCATTGTTGCTGCTTTCAACTTGAAAGAGTAAGACAGAAGAGGGTAGGGCATGCAGTAGAGCACAAGGGCTGCACTCCTAGGAAGAGAGGGAGCACAGAATTCATCAGACTCATCAGATTTCAATATAGTCAGTCTCCAAGGAGCCACACATTTTGCTTCTATTGAGGACAGCCACTTGTATGAGATTAGGAAGTGGTGGGGGACAAGCAAAAACCTCTCTGCTATGCCAGTCACAGCCATATTAGCTTATCTCTTAAAGACAAAACAAACCCCCTCCGATTCTAGAGACTGACAAAAACAAGCTTGAGGAAAAAAACAAATGAGGCTGTGACAGCAAACATAAATCCTCCCTGCCATTATACTTCTGCTATGTATGAACTACTACCCTCCTCCATTACATTCTAGGAGTTTGTAGCCCGTGACAATGCTCTACAGGTTAAATTGAATTTAAGTCTCATACAGCCAAAGTAACTGCAATTCCTTTCCACTTCTTAGCAGATATTACAGGTTCAGTAGGCAAGAGGTGAAAAGAAAGGACCCTCTCATCTTGCACGGACAGCTAACCCTTCAAAAATGGAAACTGCTACAAAGCCAGACTAATGAGCTCAAACAGGAAATTTTGGTTTGCAGACTCTCAAAGGATACACTGAATAGGAGGCTCACCTCAGCTAAGCACACTCTTGTGAGCTGTTTCTTAAGCTGTTTCACCTTCTTGAGAGCTTTCTTCGTATTGAACACAGGAACACTCATCATTGGTGTTTTAATATTTGCACTGGCTACCATCAGTATTTCCCGCAACCTTTAAATAAAGAATGATCTTTCAAATTAAGCGATAAAAACACTATGCAGTCAAATAAATATCTAATTCATTTAAACAGGCAGCATGCAGCAACTGCCAGTTCCACCAAAGCCATAGGCATCAAGAGCCGTGGTTACCATTGCACGGCTCCTTTTCACTTTTCTGGCTCCTCATCAGGCACAGTGCAACAGCAGCTCTACTGCATCAATTAGATTACCACCCTAATTACGGGAAGAGACTAGAGATGGTAATAAGTTATTCCAAGAATAGAAGAACTAATGAAGCCTGTTTCCTACAGATGCATAATGTATGCTCCTCATTCCTTCTCCCGCTCCCCTGCTTCTCTGAAGTAACACAACCATCTCCCACCTAGGGCATCACACACCTACGCACAAGGCCAGGGTCAGCACCTGTGTTATTCAGAACTGATGACTGGCTGGTAAACACTCGTGCACTGATGAAATCACTGTCACCATACAGAAGAGCCAGGGGAAACCCCCTACGCACAAGGCCAGGGTCAGCACCCGTGTTATTCAGAACAAACTGATGACTGGCTGGTAAACACTCATGCACTGATGAAGTCACTGTCACCATACAGAAGAGCCAGGGGAAACCTGGCTGCTATAAAAGAGGTGTCTCTCTACACAGGCGACAGTAATACTAAACGTGGCAGATTTCATAGGTGCAGTGAAATTTTGTGTGTGAAAGAAATAGGTTTAGAAGTTAGCAGGGGGAAGAAGAGGTCGGCAGAGGGCAGACCCACAAAGCACTGTTTCTTTAGGCTTATACTGTATTGACTTAAATACAGAAACAAATAAGCCATTTGCTATACATCAGATAAGAGTAAGGGGCCTTCACAGATATTTTGCATCTGGAAAATGAACCAAAACAACTGTAAAATTGTGAAATGTTAAAATAGTTCCAAACAGGCACAATTTAAAATTAAACTGAAGGATCATTTGCCCTCAAGATTACCTGCCAGTGAGATTAAGCGCTATTACGTAAGTGCTAAAAATGGCAAAGGACCCATTGAGAATGCAGTTTTCTCACCTTGGAATACCCAATGTGACATTCATTTCACCTCTGCCAGCAAAGTGGAAGGTGTTCAGAGTCATCTGTGTGGAAGGTTCCCCAATACTCTGAGCTGCAAGAAGACCCACAGCTTCTCCTGGGTCACAAAGAGATCGCTGCCACTTTAAATACAACAAATTCTTCAATCTGAAGACAGGAAATAAGAAGAGGTTTAGCTCAATGTAGTACAAAGTACAGAACTCAGAAGAGACTGAAACATTGCTCAGTTCAATAAAGTCACCTCTTTCAGCCAATTTCTCCTGGTAGCTTATGTATAAATACACTCCAGAAACTGTAAAATTGTCTATCCCAATCTGATCTGACAAACACAGCCCATTAACACAGAACTGGGGCCTTGGCCAAACCACATTTTACTTCCACTGCTAACTCCCAGAACGTCAAGAGAGTCCATTTACTCCCACTTACTTATCTCAACTGCTTTGCTAACTCCAAGGTGTGGCAAGAGCATTTTTTTGTTTTTTTAACTATTATTGTAAAGTATTATTTTATATGTAGGGGGACAGTAATACATTGCTGTTACTCCATAAAGCCTTAGCCAAAGCCCTTAGCAGCACAGAAAATTCAGGTCTGGAAGAAATAGATAACCAGAGCCTCTCCACTGCACACTAAGCACGCTTGGCTTTCAGGAACCATTCTGAAATCCACTACTTTTTTTCACAAAGGTCACAACAAAACCAAGAGTTGATAAAGACTTTTCATGTTTAGCAAACTCAGTCCAAAATCAGGGTGGGTTTTTCTGGCTCAGTGCAAAGAAGTGAAGACACAGAAGTTCTTACCTATCAGAAGAAAGTTCTGGGCGCGTATAACTTCGTCTGTTCTCAGATTCCCATTTGTTGATATAATCTTCAATGCCATTTTCAAATGTTTCTGAAACAGACGCAAAGTAAGTATCTGGACGCCAAACACCAAGGCTGGGGTCAGGACACTTATTTGTCTTTTTCAGATACTTTCTTCGTTTCTTCTCACTTATTTCATACCACATCTTCAATAACTGAAAATAAGAGGAGATTTTTAAGCAGACCGGTTTATCCACAATAAGACCAAAACCAAGTAACACTGCTTCCACCAGCAATCAAGCGGTAACAAAGGAGGAAAAAATTACCTGCGTAAAACTTCAGGGTGTACGTAACACATAGCAAACAACTCAGCTACAAATACAGCAATCGCCATTTTCTGATACTTAAACTTTTGATCTCAAATTATTTCAATGTTCTTTGCAAACTTGAAATAGTTATCTATCCATAGTAACTACTCCATAAATCAGTGAAATACAGCCCTTGAAGAGTGATTTTAGCTTGGAGTGAACCCCCTTGACATACTTAAATCTTTACTTCTAGCTGACTATCACCTTGCCTGTCTAAAGCTGGCATGACAAAGGAGCTTCTCTGACTTTTCAGCTGAGGACATTCAAGCACAATAGTCCAGCAGAGACCTTGAACGTAGCTTCCATCTTTATTTCTAATCCGTTTTATTTCTATTCTGCAGTTTGGTAGTCTTTCAAGTAACATTTCAAATGTTGAATTTAATAAAGGAAAAAGTTAACAACAACTTTAAAAAAAAAAAAAAATCAACGTATCTTCTACATGCCTTGCTGTTTTATGAAAAAAGAACTGGCTTGTGACATGGAAGTCTGTCCACTGAGCTTTATAATATACCGAAAATAAGCATCTATCTGTATCTATCTAATCTACTGAAAGAAAAAATAAACAGTGAATGAATCCCCCCACCAAACTGTTTTCAACGTTATCAAAAGTGCCAATAGCAACACAAATTCAGCACAGCTGATAAATGAACCAGTGATTAGGCATAACATTTGCAGGCAAGCTAACAATTACACATCTCAACATCTTCAACTTGGGAGTTCCATGCTAACTGTCCATGTTCTAACACAGTAAATTCCTTGTGAAAGCAAGGCTGTGAAGCAGCAGCTGTTTGCATTCTGTGTTCACACATACAATCTTCATTAGAAGCCATAACATATAGATTAGTGACCTGGTGTACAAGAGGCTTAAGCAAGAGTAATTTTTTGAAACACTAGGTAGGGCTGGCTCAGCCCTCTGATCTTCATATTAAGCAGGCTCTCATGCAGCTGGCAGATATCCATCCATCCAAGAGAGATCTACTCTGTGTACATGAAAAAAAAAAAACCAACCAACCCACCACCCAAAAACCCAAACAAAAACAATCCCCCCAAACCACCCACAAACACATGCTGCTTTCTATAACCAGTTTTACCTCAGAGTTTTTGGCCTTTGCCCTAGCACTAGGGCCCATAGGCTTTAACAAATGAATCTCAGCTTCATCACACACACAGCTGACACAGTTCCTTCAAACAGTAACTTGTGTAAGTAGACCGTGAAACACTTTGGGACACCTGGCCCAGGTGGCCAAGGCGGCCAATAGCGTGCTGGGTCCTATGAGAAATAGTGTTGCCCAGGTGGCCAAGTCGGCCAACAGCATCCTGATTTGTATCAAAAACAGTGTGGCCAGCAGGACCAGGGAAGTGAGCATCCCCCTGTACTGGACACTGACGAGGCCACACTTCAAATACGGTGTTCAGTTTGGGGCCCTTCAGTTCAAAAAAAGACATTGAGGGGCTGGAGCGTGTCCAGAGAAGGGCAACGAAGGTGGTGAAGGGTCTGGAGCACAAGGCTGATGGGGAGCGGCTGAGGGAATTGGGATTGTTTAGCCTGCAGAAAAGGAGGCTGAGGGGAGACCTTATTGCTCCCTACAACTACCTGACAGGAGGTTGTGCTGAGGTGGGCGTTGGTCTCTTCTCCCAAATAAGAAGTGATAGGACAAGAGGAAACAGCCTCAGGTCACGCTAGGGGAGGGTTCAATTGGATATTAGGAAAAAATTCTCCCCCAAAAGGGTTGTCAAGCACTGGAACGGGCTGCCCAGGGCAGTGGTTAAGTCACCATGCCTGGAGGTACCTCAAAGATGTGCAGATGTGATGCTTAGGGACATGGTTTAGTGGTGGACTTGACATTGCTAGGTTAACAGGCTCTATGGTCTTAAAGGTCTTTTCTAACCTAAACGATTCTATAATTCTATAAAAAGCCATTAAAAAAAAAAAAAAAAAAAAATCGCTGAATTCTTCAACTTTTTTTAAAGGGCTCAGTCAATTCAACTGCTTCTGTGTTACCTGTAAAGTAGCAGGATCTCTTCCATTTTTGATTTCTCCTCCTGGAATCAGTGCTTTCACACTTGCCATTTTCTTTTGGGAAAACATCAGAAAACCTCCTTCTCTTTGCACAGAGTTTTGGTGCCTGGCTCGCCACTTTTTGATGGCTTTGAACTGCTGGTTAGCTTGGTGAGACTCCATCCTTCCTAAAGCTTCATCCAGATGGTTTGTCTTCTGGATTACCTATAAGAAAGTTATCTGTATGATTATTCTCTCTATGCTCACTGCAGCAGAAAAGGCAAAGCAAACTGAAAAGGTCATCTGCTGCCATTCAAAATGTTCAGCTGGTGTAAAACAATTTTAAAAACTGGTTTTCAATCCAAGTAAGACAAAACTCTTATTTTTATGTGACCATTGCCATTCTTTAATAACCAGTGATGATACTGGTAAAAGGAGGTTAATCAAACTTGACAGACTGAAGAATAAAGACATCTGTGTTGAATCCAACTGTAGAGTTAGGGTAGACGAGAATAGGGAGAGTGCTTGGTGCTCTGTTGAAATTGGGATTGCTTAAATCACGCCACAGACTTAAGATTCAATTCCATATTATGAATACAAGGGCAAACAGAAGTGTAGGTTAGTCTGAGAGTAACAACTACACCACTGCATCCCTAACAGATATGCCAGATGTTAACCATGCACTTCAGTCTTCCCCTTCACCCCATGCAAATACGTAAGATTAAAATGTTCTACCTCATAGTTTTCTGCAATGAAAGGAAACTGCTCAGGTTGCAAGAACTGAGTTTTAGGGATATCAAGCCCATCTTCTCCATACAGGAACTGCACCACACTGCCATCGCTATCTCGTACAGTCAGGTCATACTGAACTACCAGTCCTTCTAAATGTTTTATGATACACCTGTTCCAAAGGAAAAAAAAACGCCACGCTGTTAAGAGGCCACAAAGCAACAAGGATGATATAACTCTAACATGAAAAACACTGTTTTCATTAATATCTTAAGTGCACTTCAGGGATGATCAGGAATTCTGGAAGCCAAAAGTCATATAGACATGACACACGGGTGAAATGCTTAATGATAATGATATTGCAAAGCTTTCTGCATGTTGCTCCCTCCAGTTTCCTTGGACTGAATTGACTTCAAATGAAATAGGAAATTACTCTCTAATTTGCTGTCACAGTTGTCTGAAAGAAGGGAGCGTCCCTCCTTTAGAACCCCTCGCTACCCTCTGAAACAAAATGTTCCATCTTTTTCTTTATACTGGAAGTGTTGCTAGAATAAAGACAAGGGCCAGACAATGCAGCCAAGAAAAACTAGAGTTGCCTGGAATTTGTACACTTTTACTTGTACCAGGAAAAAGATTTCTCCAAAAGGAAAAGTTGCTGCTGCTGTGTGCCAGAGTAAGTTAAAGATGATAAAGTTCCACTTGATCTAGTCCTCTAGAAAGTTGGCCTTAGAACAAACATTCAACAGTAAACACTTTTCTAAAAAGCAAATACATTGATGTTAATTAAAGCAATACAGGCACTACTTCCAGTCTACAGTACTCTATAAAGAAAAAAACCAAACAAAAAAACCCTCAATCAAACAACAGGACCTTTTAAAGGCTCAAATTCTAAAACAAGCGTCTTACCTTTGTAGGTACCCAGAACGGCTGGTTTTGACAGCTGTGTCCACAAGACCTTCCCTGCCAGCCATGCAGTGAAAGAAGAATTCCTAAACATAACCACAACACCATAAGCATTCTGCTGAGAAGCACACCAAGGCTTGCAATTTATGTTCTTTCTCAAAAGCTACATATGAAAATAGGGTGAACAAAGACATTTTATCTATAATCACAGACACACTGTATTAAAATACAAAGTTTTAAGTAAACTTCAGTAAAAACACAGGCAGTATTAAACTTACAGAAGGTTTGATCCCAGTGAGAAATCTGCCGGTCACAAATCCCCCTGAGCTAGGGGAAAAATCGTAAGGCTGGAAACATGGCAGCGATTTGCCAGATGCCATCAATGGGGGTCTTCGACCTTCCAACTCAATCTGGCCCAGCAAACAAGAAATCTAAATGTGGACAGGAAAAAAGGAAACATCACTTTTCCACCCAACTTTTTACTCACATAAGTTCAAAGTTTTTCTTGAAAAACATAGTAAAAAAAAATTAAAACATTCACTAAATGTTCTTTAACTACATGTCAACATATTCATTAAATATTCTTGCTACTGATGGGCAGAAAAGGCATGTAGATCTCATCTGGTCTTTTTAAGTTATTCCAGCCCCCTGATTCATCCTCAACATTTTCATTCTCATTCTGTATGTTTATTTTAATACAAAGATATGTGAAACTAAAAATATCATAAATATTTTTTAGGTCCTTACGTTACCCCCACCACCTTTCAGCAGTGTACTAAAAACAGAACAAAAAACCCAACCCAAACCCCTCTCTCTTGAGCTTTGGTCATTCTCTCTCAGAGATAGAATTTTAGATGGCCTTTTGATATAGTGTTTCTTGCTTGGTGTCTGTGTTGCAGAAGGCAAAATGAAAATGCATCCTTGCCATTTCTACCAAAATCAAAGGAAGATTTAGTTGTTCCTATTCAGTAGTGGAAGAAGGAAACAGAGGGGTCAGTATCCAACAGAGGCCAGGAAAAGTTCTTTCTCCTACAGTAGGTTTCTATAATCTAATTCCTTCTAGAAAGGAGGTCTGCTGTTTCTATAAATCCTAACGTATCATAGGATCATAGAATAGTTTGGGTTGGAAGGGACCTTTAAAGGTTGCCTAGTCCAACCACCCCTGCAGTGAGCAGGGACATCTCCAGCCAGATCAGGCTGCTGAGAGCCCCATCCAACCTGACCATGAAGGTTTCCAGGGATGGGGCATGTACCACTCTGGGCAACCTGTGCCAACATTTCACTATCATCACTGTAAGAAATTTCTTCCTTATATCTAGTCTGAATCTACCCTCTTTTAGTTTAAAACCATTGCCCCTTGTCCTGTTGCAACAGGCCCTGCTAAAAAGTTTGTCCCCATCTTTCTTATAAGTCCCCTTTAAGTACCGAAAGACTGTAATAAGGTCTCCCCACAGCCTTCTCTTCTCCAGGCTGAACCACCCCAACTCTCTCAGCCTGTCCTCACAGGAGAGGTGTTCTGTATCAGTCTGTATCTAAGGTACTGAGAAATGGTTAAAAAATAGGTTATAATAAACATTGACTCTCCTCCATCACCCAGAGCTCTTCATTACATTCTTCTAAAACTTTTACCTGCCAAAGGCCTCTATTCCCAAAGCCCACAACAGAAGTCTTGCTTTGGTATTAGATAGCCACAAGAGTTTACATTCTGGGACAAATCATATTGACACATGCTAAGTAGCTGCTAAGTATTCTAGCTGTCGTTACCTGCATTGTATTTACAGTGGATCCTTTGGCTCCTGACTGTACCATCAACTGCAAATTGTTCTCTGGAAAGCTCCTGTGGAGACCAAGGGGCATGCAAACCTAAAGAGTTGTGGTGGGGTGAAGGGAATAAAACCAAACCATTATTAATAAAATAATAAACCAAAGAAATTCCTGTTGAAGGCTTTAAGAAAGCAAAACTATGAGTAATCACAAACATTACTATTTGTAATTTTAAAAGCGTCTTGAACATTAAGCCATCTGCTCATTCAGGGAGGACAAGGTTGAGGTGGTGAGGCAGTATGTGAAGCCTCACACTGGGGACAGATGGAAAGCTTCAGCTTCCAGAACAGTCAGGCACCCCTCATTGACATTAAATTAACTTAATAAAGAAGTCCCCAAACAAGATTAGCATACACAGATGCCTCGATGCCAACCTTGTTAACTTCATTGTTGTAACTGTTTACTTCCTCCTTGAATTTCAGATCAACCATGTTAAAATCCCTCTGGTCTTTGCGGAGATGGGCATCTTGCCATTTCCCTTGGACCTCCTCACATGATGCCGTTTCTGGCAAATTAAGAGCAGCTCTTACAGCCTGAAAGTAAAATATGGGGATTTTAGGTGTTAAGCAGGCATGATTAAACAGGACAGAATTTCAAAAATTTTTAACTGGGGGGGGGGGAACGGCACGGAATTCTGCAACACAGACTTACTTCAATGCCACACTGGCTTGACTTTTCAATGATCTTTTTTCTTTTGTGGTCTGCTTCACGTTTAACCAAAATATCTTCAATCCCTATTAAAGAGAGACAGAGCACATAATGATCTAAACTAGAAAGAATCGAGGAAGGAACTACATTTGGTGTCAGAGATTTTGAGATTAAAGAGCTGGAAAAGAAAGTCACAGTTAAAGATATAATAACTGTTAAAATCAGACTAGGAGCAGTTTCACAAGAAAAAAAAAAAAACTTCCAAGTGGCTCTTTGAGGGAGAAGGCACAGGCTGACAACAAAACATACAACTAAGGGTGAAAAATCAACTCTCTAACTTAAGAAGTCTTAACTTCAACAGTGTTTATAAAGTCTTAATCTGTGCGCTTGCACACAAACAAACATGTTACAGGCCAGCCACATCAAACTCTTTTTTTCTCTCTCATCCACTTCCAAGTTCCTATTAGCTGACCTTTGGAGCATAAGTAATTTCCTAAGTTTTAAAAAGGTAAACTAAAAATAAAGACCTTTGTGATGACGGGACCAGGAGAACAAAAATTTACAACAAACCAAAGGTTGTAACCCTAACTCCTGTAAGCTATTTGTAAGGAGTCCTGCAAAAGTCACTGAAATGGTCACTAAAATGGCTGGAGCACATGATGGATGAGGACAGGCTGAAAGATGTGTGTGTTTGCCCTTTAGAGATACAAGGAAACAAAATTTTCTTCAAGAGGAAAAAAAAATTGACAATGTATATGATCAAATGCTAGCACGGGGACCCAGAGAGGCTGCACAATTACCATCCCTGGAGATATTCACAACTTGACTGGACACAGCCCTGTGCAAGCTCACCTGGCAGGACTTGCTTTGAGCAGGGAGCTGCACTAGATGCACTAGGCTTCCAGAGGTTCCTCCAAGGCTACATGTGCAGCAGTTCTAGGGGGACAAGTGGGATGCTTTACTAGCGAGTTACACACACAATTACAAGGCAAAGGAGTCTATGGCCCTGTTTTATGTCCCCCTGTCTACACTTCTTCTGTCCAGCCCTGTTCTCCTTTTCCCATTACAACCTGGTTTCTTCTACTTTATGTCCTTCTCCTGAACTTTATTCATCTCATCCCAAAGTCTAATTTTGCTCAGTCCCGAACCATCTAATCTTCACCAAACCCCAGACTCCTGCTCCAGTCCCACTTCTCTTTTTCTGATGTTTCACTATCTAGTGATCCCAGGGTCATTATCTTTTCCTAACTAGTTTTTGCAGCATGGCTCTCGAGACATATTTTCTGTATCTTACAGTCAATTCATCACCTTCCTCACTTCAAAAGATCTCCGTCTCTTTTCCTTGGCTCACAGCAGTCTGTTGGTTCCTCACTACTGCTGTCTACAAGTCGACCATGTCTACGTAACTCTTAAGTGATCACATTGTGCCATCAGATAAAAAAACAATTTAAACCCTCCTCTTTCTATATACTCTAAGTATTTCATTAGTATGAAAGCATCCTGTAAAGCTCTACGTGGTTATTTGAGATATTTCAACTATTGCAAGAAGAGAGAGTACAGTAAGGGTCAAATTTTTATTGCATGCCAAGTACATTTTTGTATGATTCTGCAAAGTTGTCACGGAAGTCAAACATTTACAGTAGAACAATATATGCAAGATTTGATTAATAACCCCTTCACGTTCTTCCATCTCGCTTTACCAGTTGTTCTAGTTTCTATGCAAAAATTCTTTTTCAGAGAAGTAAAAATAACAAAGATTCATAGGAGGTTTTGATCGAAACAAAATTTCAAGACTCTGTACACTTTGACTAGGCAAGACAGAAGAGAGAACTTGATGGACATACTCAAGATTACACTCCCTCTTTATGCTTAGAAGGACAGCTATGCACCAACCAGAAAAAAAGACACGCGCAAAAAAAAAAAAGACTGGCGAACAGCTATCCCACTTGCAAAATTTTATTTACAGAACTCTTAGCATTTATTATGCCCAACAATGTCTGTTTTATATTTCACAAGGTGCTGCACTACAGCAGCGGTGAATTAGTCCTTGTGTTACTCACCCATTGTAAATCCCCTGTACAGCTGCAGATAAGCAGTAAAGAGGCGTCCTAGACATGTCAGCACCTTCCCACTGGTTTCACCCCCATAGATTTCATAGCAACAGTGGACCAGGCCATAGGCAGAGCTGCCAAAGTGAGCTTTGTCCAAGACTCCACACAGTAATTCCCCATTTCTAATAATAACCTGAAAAATAACACACCACTATTTAGGAAAACAGAAATTTTGACTTTATGATGATCTCTACAGTTTTTTCTGTGTGATCTACATGGAAATAGGTTGAAGTTTAAAAAAAACACATATTGGTGAACAGTTAAATATGGTCAGATTATCTATACTTCCAGAATTTATAGCAGAAATAAAACTTCTAACACCATCTGTATTTTTCCACCTATAAAGTCAAACAACGAAGAACAAAAACATATGGAATCTCCATCAGTCAGGATCAGAACAGAGTGTTTCCTGACCCCCAGGCCTATCCCCTAATCACCACCTTCTGACAGTAACTGTTGCTGAATATGTTTTTAACTTTGTCATCCATCTGCTTCCCTTCCCATTCCTCTACTGTATACACAATTTTATTACAATACAGCCCAGCCCAACCACCTCCAGAGTTGCTCCCCCAGCATACCTGAGATTCACACATTGAGTCAAGACTTGGACATCTGTTTGCAGGTCCCTTTACCCAGGCTCTTCCACCAATCTTAGCTTTCCCAGTCAAATTCAATGGGACGTGGTTTTCTGGAATGATGTTTATTAACAATGTAGAAACAACCTATAAAGAAGCAGGAAGAGTGGCAGGAACTATTTATTTCCTATATTCCCTTCTCAACGTAAAGAATTCAGCATGAGGGAGAAAAGCAACATCCTATACGTATTTTTTTTGCACTGACAGCAAACCTTTAAAAGCTTGGAAGTCTGAAGTTTACAAGACAGGAATATCCTCTTGCTACTTCAGCCTTTGAAAGATCAATGAGCTGAGACACATAATTATTCAGAAACATATGGCACCAGAGATTCTTCCAATAAATAGATATGTACATATATATATCAAAAAAAAAGTTGTCTGTTGGGTTTTACAGGAAAAAACTAGCGGAGAATTTCCCCTACTCTGCTGTGAGACATAATACTTGGATTGAATGTTAAACTCTCTTCAACAGTAGAAAACTGAGCATTCACTTAGGCTTCCCAGATATTACATCAACCGAATGATGATCTCAACCAAGAAGTCAAATACCAGAATATTTACCTACAACCTTTAAGTTCAGAGATTTAAAAACACAGACTGGCATAACCTAGTTTACTATGATCAACAAATTCCTTCTCTGCTCCCGTGCCTGCAAAATGCAGCATTATGCTTCTATCTGCAACACCGTTCAGAGCAGCAAGTAAAAGTTATTATTCTAACACTGTCATTTTAAATGAAAGACAACTCTCATAGCTCCAATAACACACACCAAGATCTACATGGTGTTGATTAGATGATGGGATCTGGCTTTTCAGCAACCCTCAGCAGTGCTGGTTTTAACATTAGCATTCTGCTTACTTTGGCACCACCAGCATTCTTTAACACAATAAATTATAAACTACCTGCTTTCCTGTCCATAGTTGCTGTGGTTTCATAATGGCAGGAGGAAATATTTTAATTCTTCCTTTTTTGTCTATTAGTCCTCGGTAAACAAGTTCCATATATTGCTCTCTGGTGAAAAAGCAGCCCCGGATTGTCATGCTGACTCCAGAAATCATGTGATCCTGGATCAAGCCAGGAAGTGGCTTCCCATCCTGAAAAGATAACAAGAAAAAGATTTGGGGGTGGATAATGAGTCATGTGCTAGCAGCTCCCCAAATTATTCCAGCTGGATAAAAGCACTAAAGTCATTTGTAAAGAACTTGTCATCACAGCACAACTCTCTACTAAATCTCTTCCGGACATTGACATTAAAAGCAACGATTGTCTGAAGAAGGCCCAGCACATTCAAACAAAGAGAACCACAAGTGGAGACAGAACAGAAACCAGTAGTAAATTTCAAAAATAAAGAAATAAATAAATTCACTCTCATTTATCATTAGACAAAATAAAGAAACAAACAAAAAAATCAAAGTGTTTTCATGTAGGAATAAATTTATCTGACAGTTTTACTTACCTTTGGAACCAGATACTGTTCATCAGTAAAGGCTAAGGTGTAGGCTTCTGCTCTACCCAGCTCGCTCTGTGGAAAATGGGCGTTCATTTCATCACCGTCAAAATCAGCATTGTAAGCCTTGCAGTTGGCATAGTGAAGCCTCAGCACTTTTTCTCCAGGCAGGATTCGGGCCCGGTGAGCTTGGATGGAAGGTCTATGAAGAGTGGGCTGGCGGTTCAGTAAAAGGACATCTCCATTTTTAATATGTCGACATACCTGCAAGAGAATTTTGGTTGCTGCCTGTAAGGCATTTCCATGCATGCATCTGAAAAGACTGCATGTTAAAACATACACACATCCAAAACATTTTCTTTCTAGTATTAACATTCTGCACAAAATTTTGTAAAAGAATCAAGACTACTTGCCCCTGAACACCCTCTGCTCTCCACCAAACCACACTCTAAGGCTGCATATCCTCCATGATCACTGTGGTTTGTGGGTGTTAAAAAACAGAGGTAACAGCATGCAAGCCACACTCTACCAAACTCTCCTCTCCCTTGGCAGGGATCAAAGATTGAAAAAGAAAGAAAATTACGCCATTTGTATATCAGAAAATAAACTATTTATCCAAAGCCCACTGGGCTGAATTGATAATGCCTGTCACCATATACCCAGCACTGGACATCCCAGAATAAGGTAATAATATGTCCCAGTAGCTGAAGCAGAGGCCAGAGATCTCAGAGTTGTAATTTCAGGTTTGAGTACAACACAATACATTCTTACCTAGAACAGTCTCTCAAAACAGTCTAACTTCTCTGTCAGTAACACCCACCCAAATATCCATTTAAGTGATTATCAACAGGAGTATGATAAGCTGTCTGCACAGTCTAAATACTGTTACATTTACGTCTGTGACAGGTTCTGAGAGTGCTGACATCACAGCAATACTTAGTCTTAAATATTAAATCTCTACCACGCCTCTATTAGAGACAGGGCTATACATTAACAGACATGGTGAAGACTAGTCATCACCAAAACTTTTGCCCTAGCAGCTAAATAGTAAGTTCTCAACGCTTGCAAGGGACAGAGATACAGTTATTAAGAAGTTTCAAAGGTTGATTAAGCTGTAGCACAGAGAACTCAAACCCTCCAGCAGCTCCGAAGAAACAACTGGTATGAGATAGAATTTGCTGAGAAGGATGGGGAGGCAGGGGGACATAAAATGAAAGCAATATTTTTATCTTCCATACTGCTAAGTCTTCCCAAGAATAGCCAGCTGCAAAAGAAATACTCCTCTGTGTCCTGGCAAGATGAATGCCACACTGCATATTAAAGAGAAAATAAAATTCAGAATGGAAAAATGGTTTTTAGAATTTGGAAAAAGTATCAAGCTTTTCTTCCCACATCCCCCCTGCCCCAGCTTTTTCTCAGCCACCTACTAAAAGACAAGATAACCCTTCCCTGGGAGTCTCTGTGAGCGGGCCCATTGGAATCACTAACAAGGACAGTAGTAGTAGTATTTAAAAAAAAAACAAAAAACCAAAACCACCACAGGTGTAGGGGGGCTCCGACAAGCCCTTTGTCATACTCACAATCTTCAGTCCTGACTGGGGTGCGCCTGAAGAAGGAGTGAGGAGCTGCTTAGCTATGGCTTCCCTCTGGGTCAGGCTGCTTGCACTTAACACTGTACGAGATCCATCTTCATTAATGACCATGGAGGCCCCGGGGTGAACCTTTGGGCCATTTATGACAGCCTGCCTCAGCTCTTTCACATTCCAGGGAGTGACTGGCTGAGGGTAAGTCAGTTTGGTAGCAAATACCTAGACAGCAGAGAAAAGAGGAGAGAAATAACAAGTTGTTCAACTTTGGCTTAAAACAGTACTATGTCACTGAGAAAACTGTGTCATATGTTAATTCATACAATGTAAACATAAATTTATTTAAGCTCTTGGATGCATTTCCTCCTCGTTCTACTGTCATGCCAAATAAATACATTTCTGTTTTAAAATCCTCTACCATAAGAATAGAAACAATCTCCTTTTTACGATTTTCTACTGCAGTAGAAAAGGAAAACTCAGTTAGCAATTAAAAAAAAAAAAGAAACTAGGATTTTAGTTTCTGCAAAGAAACGAACAAATACAGAGAAAAAGCCCAGTATCACCAGATCCACTGTTTGTAGATAGGTAAGCAGAAAAGATGGTATAATGAAAAGCTCGAATTCAGGCTTGGTGTCACCTCTGTGTGGTTAAAAATCATTAAGGATGAATGAAGTTGGTGATGTTATTATGGACTTTTCTTAAAGGCTGCCATAGCTGTTACAAGATACACTGTACAAAGACCACAAGGAGAAACAGGATCTACTTATAAAGTTTGCCCTAATTCATAAACCTAGGAAGCAAGCACAGCTTTTTCTTATTTTTTAATCCTCTTTCCCAGATGTGGTGTACAGTATAATGGCAAGAATTTCCTGCTCTTCAATGCTCCTTCTTTATTAACACGCAGTGGTAACATACAACTATGACACGCTGGGGCAGAAAGAGTCCAGAGGAGTCAAAAAGTCTCTACATTTTAAACCGTTTGTTATGTAGCTGAAAGTGTTAGAGTTCAGTCCCCAGCCGCACCAAAAAGAACCACTCCTTTATTTCTTCTTACCATGGGAATGCCAATCTCGTTGGTACCAATGTACATATCGGGGCAAATGACTGATCGAGCAGCAAAATCCACACGCTTTCCCATCATGTGCTTGCGAAACAGTCCTTCCTTTTTCTCTAATAGCTTTGAGAACAGAAGTTAATAATTAAAACGTGAAAGCATGCAACATCAGCTAGATTCTCCAGATATTACAGTGATGAGTATCACGAAAATGCCTACATACTAACCACAAATATTTCACTTTTTTCTTATTCCATTAACTTCTTGTTTTAACTGTCTGTGACACACAAAGTCCAGAGTCTCTAAGATTCTGCCTGCTACCCACCTGACGAATACCAGGGTATTTTTCTGTCATTAGTTTGTCCATGTCACTATCAAATACAATGTTGACATGGCTCTGAAGACGAATCCAAGCGTTGTACAGCTTATCTGCAATGGTCTGTCCTGGAATCATTGTCAGGACAGAATGGTCCAGAGGTTCATTATTCTCTCCTGTCTCCTATAGAAACATAAATTAGAAGCTTGGACTTAACAAAAAATACCTTCTATTTACTAGGCTGAAATTACAGTGTTAAACAGCACATGAAACACTGGCCACTTTTGTACCTCATTAAAGACACCAAATTTAAAGAAAAAATAAACAAAAACATCCCAGGACACTAACAGTCAATGTAAACATAACTTTGAAATTATTACAATGAAGTGCCTCAGACAGGTCTGCTGTGAAGCTTTAGAAACTGACCTGGATAGGAGATCTAAATGTTTCTGTGATTCTGTGTGGTGGACTTGGCAGTGTTAGGCTTATGGTTGGACTCCATGATCTTAAAGGTGTTTTCCAACCTAAATGATAGTATGATTTCCAAATATCACAGCCACATATCCCAGTGGGATTTTAATAAACGATTGCTAATCTATCATCTGGTAAGTGACAGTCCTCTTTCCAAATTAGATGTTACTGGTTAGTCAGTCTGTGCTAAGAATCACTGTGCTACCAGTAAGTCCTATTCTGAGATAAAAATAATGTTAATCCAAGAGCTTTTATCACCTACATCACTGTGTTTTCACAGTCTGAAAATCAGTGTACAAGTCACAACAGAAATGCATTAACCTTATGTCACATCAGAAGTTTTAAGAACATATCTCCACCTAGTGGCTAAATTCTGAGTACCTAAAAATGTTTTCAAAATGTTTTACACTTAAGACGTAAATCAAGTTCAGCTGAAACCAAGTCCAGTATCAAAGAACCCTCAATAATACAATTAATGAACAAATATGAAAAGAAGAATGGTGACATAGATTATTTACCACTACATGACCACATGAACAGGTCAGTAGTAAACAAGCATTGTTACTAATTAATGTTATTTGTGAATTTTTTGGTTCTCTTTAGACATCAATGCTCAAAAATAACCACAATCATTGGCTCTACTATGCTTAGAAGATAAAGTGGCTTTTTAACTCCACCCTTTTTTATTCAGTGAGATGCTGGAGAAGTTTTATTACGAACTGTTTGCGCTGTACATATATTATTCTCCAATAACAGGAGCCCGTTATGTCTCACATACAGGAATCTAATACAAAAACCATGACTAAAGGAGTCTGCGTAAAATGTTTCTCCCTTTGCATCAGGCGGGTGTGTGGAAAGAGGCAGGAGGGGAGGGGTGGAGGAAAATGCTATAGAGAACATCTTGAACGGCACATACTCCAAGAGCCTAGGCAAAATCTGTTACTGGAACAGTTTACACAGAAGCCTACCTGAACTCGACCCACATACTCAAAAACCAGAGAATAAGATAACCACTTACTGTTTGGATTTCTTCTTCTGCAATTTTTATTGGCTGACACTGTTCTTTTGCCATGAAAACCAAGAGCTTCCGTATCATTTTGGCATCTTTCATGACAGCCTGCAAGTTCACCGTCTGACCATTTGTAAACAGTCGGTCTCCAACACGATTTATAGGACGATACCTACAGCAGATCAAAATTACTTCAGAAGACCAAAGCCACCCAAAAGTAGCATGATAAAGCTCAAACATTCTAAGCTAAGTCTTCAATGCATGAAAAATAATCCCTATAAATAACAGTGAGCATTTAAAAATCCATATATTATATTGGGACAGTCATAAAAGAGGAATGATTCCTTAACAAGAAATTCTACTAGTACTATACAGTTCTAATATTCTGTAATAATTTAAAATACTAATACTAAAATACATTTTTACATAATAATTATTTCATCCCTTTAACAAACTCATTTGAATTTATAACAAAACATACAATCAGTTACTGCTGTGATTTTTTTTTTTTTAATTTTTTTAATTTTTCTTCACTGACACTTCAGCAGACCAGAGTCTGTACTATAGGTGTTTGCATCTCCGACTCCTCCCAAAAAGCATGCGCTAACCCCTGTGATACCTACAAAAGTTTTTTTTGGGAAGTTTTACCTTGAAGGTGGAACCACAAGTAGATCTAAAAAAAACATGTCTGGACTGAATCCTGAATTCTCATGGGGATCCACCCCAGCAAAGAGGTAACGCAGAAAGAAACCTAAAAAGAGACAATAGAAAAAATTAACTCATTATCACTGCTATTGTTTGGGAATCCAAAGCCCCAGATGCCTTTGGTCAATCAAGCCAAAAGCGCTGCTAAGTTAAACACTAGCGAGCTTGTTTAAAATAAAACCATTTAGGCATACTTTAGAAAGATTTGCCATTGCTCTTTTTGGTTACATACATGATTTTTTACCAACAACCCTGAACAGAAATACAGAGCATAGCAAAATAAAAAAGGAAAACAGCAGGAAGAAACAGTTTCCAGCTACTAGCTGTGACTGATACATGAAACTGCTTTGGTTTTTCCTGGCAACTGCAGACAGGTTCAGAGTACAGGGAACTCAAAAGAAGAGATGGCTAAATGCATTCTCAGTCTTTAACTAATGTTAACTGTGGGGAATATTAGGTGCAGCACTGTATGAACATTAAATTCTCTGTAAACAACCACTGTGATTTGTGGGGAGTTGCAATTTGAGTAGCTAATCAAACTATTCATTGACTCCAGCTCTCTGCATTCACTAGCTAGAAGTCCTCCTGTCACAAAATCCATCTTGCAGCCAGGAGCCCTTAAGGCAAAAGGCAAAGATTTGACAAGGAGTTCACACAGGAACATTTGCAGACTTTGTCCACTAGATGATACAGAAAACAAAGCCATGTTGCTCTTAACAACCATTACCTTCATTCTTCCACAGAGCCAGGATGTATTCCTTGGCAGTCATTGGTGTCAGGTATCCTCTCTTCCCTAACTGGCTTTCATCAATAGCTGAAAAATAAAAAAATAAAATACTAAAAATAAAAATAAATGAATAAACAAAAACAAAAAAATATCACAAGAGGTTACTTTGAAAGATTTTTTTTGCTTACAATAAGTGCTTCCAGCTCAGAGAAGGAATGGAATATATACAAAATATACTGGCTGACATCTACATTAAAATATCATTAACATGTTTGCTTTAGGGACATGAAATTAACTAAAGTAAGAGCCTTCCCAGTGTAGAAAAAATAAGCCATTTCTGTGACTATTGGATAAGTAACTGAAACAAACCTCAACTTTAACATCTAAAGTGTATGCTTTTTTTGATTAATAGTGTGCTGGACCCCTTCTTCACTTTATCTCATCCACTGACCAAATCAGAAATCAAGAGTCAACTTGCAGCGGGTGAACAAAGAAGTAGGATTCAAGTACTATCAGAAAGATCAAGGTTCCCATGAAATACCTAAGTGGATGAGACAATAATGACAATCAGCAATTCATCTATATTACAAGTTAGAATCTGGGCTAGCTATATTTTGGCGAGGAAGGAAAACATGTGGTTTTGCTACTGAAAAGATTTTTTTTTTTTTTTTTTTTAAAAAAAAGCCAGTGATTTTAGGTCTCAATTTTCACTTCTTTTGCAGGCCAGCCCCTCATGTCCCAGGGAAGCCAGAATACATGGCTTGAGGAAAAACAATTCTCCCATGACCTCAGCTAAAGTTTCCTACTGTTCTTTTTGCTAAGGTCCAGAAATCCAGATTTTTCCACACTGAAACTTCAACTCCCCATTCCTTCACAGAGAAAAACTTTCCATCCCTTAAACATGAATGCATCAATGCCAAGGTTGAAAGTAGTCCCGCCAAGATTCAATACAATGAGCAGCTGTGACATAGGCTATGCAAGATGTACATAACCGTATAGCTCATCCCATTTCAGAAGATACAAGACTTCACTGTAATGAAAGTAACCAAGAGGTGTTACAGCCTTGGTTTTTGAACACTGACAGGACGAAGGTATTTCTTATCTCTACTTCAGCCATGAGTGTTAACAGAGACTGCGAGAATATGCCTGGTTTTGAAGCTTTCTGTGGTGAGGCAAGGTATTCCATTTCTGGCAACTCACCTGACCCTCCAGAACAACTATTTTCATCACTAGTGTAATAAAAACAGGGCCCCAAACTTTGGACAGTCCTAAAGGGGCTCAAATAAAAAGGCCAAAGTATCAGCCTACAATTTAATGGAGCAAAATCATAGTTGTCACTATTGGAATATCCAAACTTTCCTGCCTTTGTCGAACGCGTTATGGACATGATGGTAAAGCAGAGATCTGACCTTTCCGCTTGAAAAGTCATCACTGACATTGTGCTTCTCTAGGCACAACTCAAGAGGTTTAACCTAGTATTTAAACCACACACTAGCAAACAGAATAAGCTCTATTTATAAATGTTTTCTAAGAGTTAAATAACACACACATATCCATTTCAATTTACCTGACTGTGTAAAGGATCAAGGATACAAGAAGAGGAAAAAAGTGATTTAAACACTAGGTTAATTAAGCTTGGAAAGTGCCACCTACTTTCTTTTCTGCCTTCTTTAAGAGGAAATTCTTCTGTACAAGTTAGGATTACCTAATTTTAATTCTGAAATAAGGTTGGTCATCTTCTTCCTAGTTTATTTTTTTTATTTAGGCCCCCTAGTTTAAAGATTTAGCAGAAAATAATCCACCCTCCAGAAACGTAGTGTCCCAAAACCGTATTAGAGTTGACAGATTATGCTCCTTGTGCTTCTTTTCCTGACATACAAACACTCGAAGCTGCAAAAGCAAAGAAGCCTCGCAAATAGAGAAAGTGAATGGAGTCGGGTACTCCCCTACTGCTGAGCTTACTGTTATATTAAAATTTTTATACATGAGTCACAAGCGCATAGCCCCTGCTACAAGTCTGTTCACCTTAAATGCAGGAAAATAAGTGAGAACATATTTGAATAGTAGACAAATATTTTACCTGCTGGCTCATCCAGGATGCCTTCCTCTCCTAACTTATGGTACACTGTAGAAGGATAGGTTACTGTCAGCTTGCTGTTATGCTCTTTTCGCACTAGTGATCTCCTAGACCTTAAAGGAAAAAAAAGTAAACCAGGAAAGGCAGATAAAAGTTAATACAAATGCTTACAATATTTAACTTTACACCAGCTATTTAATTCCTCACGTAGTTAAACTTACTTGCAGTTTGGGCATTTCTTTGAACTCATATGTGCTTTCCAGAAATGTGCTATCAGTTTATTTCTACACTCGCATACATTTTTCACCTGATAAAGAAAAAAAAAAATTAAAAATAATTTAAAAGTTTATATGAAGAATTATTAAACACAAATTAATTAATGCTAACTACTAGCATGTACATTATTAGTATCAATGCACACACATCCTTGTACTTATTTAATTCATGCCTTAATCTCAAATGTTATTCCATCTTCTTGTTTTTCCTGGAAACACAAACCCTCCCAATGCTCACCACCCTCCTTTTTAAATTTATTTCATAAATAGTCTTTATTTTTCAAGTGGGTACTAAATTTTCAAGATTTAAGAAGGCAGAATATTGACAAAAATCACTTCTTTTGACTGCTCATGAATGTATGATTTCCCAAGTGCTCATGGTTAGTTTTGAAACAAGTGATTAAGGAATTAAACTTGGCTTATAAGCAAATCTGCTCTAAGATGTTAGACCTTCAAACATCTTCTTTACTAGTGTTATCCTTTAACTAACAATGTACATTAAACTGCATTTAAATGGTAATAAGAATTCAATTACATAAGTCCCTAAAAATTTCACTTTTTGTTGGATACGTGAGTTCTCAAAAAATGTTCTGCAGCTCAAAACAGCTGCAGCATCATACAGAGAAGTATCAACATCTGTAGGTAATGTACTGACAGCAGTATCAGATTATTTTTATGCATTATTTACACCACCAAAACATTT